AAATTCTACCTTCGTATTTTGCATGACACGTAACTGAGGAAGCACGGAAACAGCTTCCAGGTAAACAGATAAAGCCCATAAAATCCTGTTGGCAATGTGATGTGACGTCGAAGGGTGAATGAGTAAAGCTAAAATACCACAAGGGACAGCCTGCACAAATGTAAAGACAATTCAACCTTCTTTCAGAGGAGTACATAACAGAATGGCAATTCTATCAAGTACCTATACAAATGCTGTTCATAGAATTCATTAATATTTACAGTCACTTATTAGTAACTTTTAAGCTTAGATAAACACCTTCAATCAAGAAATGTAGTAAGAGAAGATGGAAGTGCCATGAATGACTCACCAAATAATATATAGCGAAATTGTCTTTGTCCTCCACGTAGCTTGACCTTAATTTAAATCGAATCGTATAAATAACCCACAAGGTCGTAGCCAATGTAGCGGAGTCGAGCAGTGTGTGTATATCAAATTCCATGACAAAACTGCAATAAAGTCTAACAGCCAAAAAGATAGCTGTTAGCTCCTGGCATTTAAGTGAAAGCCCTGTAATGGAAACAAATCATAAGGCCGGCCAGAATGGAAAACCAGATAATGTGACAAAAACTGCGTAAACAATAGGAAAAAATATCAGCACTGCGATTCATAATTCGATGCTGAATAAGAGTGTGTGATATACTCGAAAGAACTTCTCAAGTTAATAACCTAATCAATGCTATGATACAAAAACAAGGCCTCGAAAGCATAAACAAGGAAGAAATAAAGATATAATGGAATTCCCTATTCATTCAATAGCATATTCCTAATTAAATTCGTGAAATGGACCAGCTACTTTGTTAAGGAAAATATAATTACATATTTGCATATGGACTGTCTTTTTGATATGGGTAGAAATCTAGTTAACATTTCAGGTGATTCAAAAAATCATCACAGAGAAAATGATCTAAATACAAATAGTTCAGAGATTGCAATATGAAGTGTAAAAGTCTAAAGACTACACACAATATTTTTGTCCGGCATATGTAAAAACCAACCCAATAAACATGGATGCACCCTTTGAAGTTTGCCCCAATCAATAAAGTTTCAACAGTAACAAAGAGCAGTAGTTATTCAATGTCGACATACACTAATACACCCCCATCCACAAACACATGAGACAGGTTTAAGGCAATTAATGGATTATCTAGTCTCGTAAAACCTTCAAGAACCTCAGTGCATGTTTTGTACACAGGATTGAATAGGATCTGACAGTATAATTAATAAAGTTAACTCATTTTTCTTTGGTATTAGTATCCAATCCTCCTTATCAAACATACCTCTAGAGTTCAATCATATTTTGCCCCTGTTTGGTTTGGCTAAAAATCATATTTTTAGTAAATTTTGATAAAAGTTAATGAAATGGTTCGCCAGATTATTTAGACCAAATTTTAACTGCAAACATTTACCAGATAAACCCACATATAGAAAAAATCACTTCGATACAATAAACAAAACATAAACATGTAAATAAAATAAAAATCTAAAATACCAGCACAAGTTCTTTCCTTCATGAGCTTGTAGATTAGTACTGAAATTCCAATAGAGTGGACAGCCTCGGCGGCGACGAAGATGTTGTCATGATCGTGGACAATGGCCCGGAGGAGGACAAGAGCCGCCATTCCAATGACCACCGCCAGGAAAGCCTTCATCTTTGGCGGCTGCCTCCGTACCCATGTTGACACTACATGGATCAGCGTCCTCGGTGGCCTCATTTTTGGCTCACTGTTTGTTGCTACTTATGTATATTATATGTGTACTTTACAGGAATTTCTATAGTGTGTATATGAAGGGGAAGAGGACGAAAAAGAGGGGGAGAAATCAAGGGAAAAAGGATGGAAATGAAATTGAATCTAGAGCAGTGATCTTGATTGTAACGAGGAATCAAATCAGCGTAGTGTAATGGATCTCATTATCCTTTTTTTTTCCATCTTTTTGTATAATTTATTTTGCCATGTAGGAAAACATAAAAATAAAAAATTGCTAATCTACATATATTATATATATTAAAAGAGAGCATTATAGAGAAACTTTTTGAATATTAATTTTACTTTTATAGCTATATATTTAATATCAATATTTTAAAAATCAATTCGATCCGAAAGAGAAAAAGGGTCCAGGGTCAATGGTCAAACGATCAAATCGAGGTCGACCTGGAGTCAAACCGAATATCAAAATTCAATAAATAAATACTCTAACAACCTATAAAATATTATAACAACAACAAATTTTTAAATTGTAATTTTACTAATTCAAGGTAAATATAAATCAATGTTTGTCAATTAGATTTCTTATCTTATAATTTATTTTAAAACATCAAAACTAATAATTGTTGCATTTGCTTTCTTAAACTTGAAATTATTTGTGATTTTGGGAGGGCCAAAATTCGTTTAGTAGAAAGGAAAAAAGTGAATAATTATTAAATACATAAATTGTAAAAGATTACACAAGTTATCCCACATTGGTAGTTGAAGAAAACATTTCATGACTCTTATCTTTTAAAAACAACACTTGGATTGGAAGGAAGGTAAAATTGAGCTTGCCAATGCTTGAGCCTATTTATCAAAGTAATTATTATTATTATTATTGTTGTTATTGTTGTTGTTGTTGTTGTTGTTGTTGTTCTTGGTTAAAAAAAATCGTTAAAAACTTGACTGATTTTTCGATTTTTGGCTAAAATGATCGATTTGACAGGTTATTTACCGATTTTTTCATTTATGGTTAATATATCAGTACTGGACCGTATTTAAGACATTACAAAATACCGACCCTTATATATTAAGTTATATATTCAATACACCCTTATATTAATTTTAATTTTATTAATAATTAATTAATAATATTAATTCGATTTATGAAATAAGAAATTTAAAAATCCCTTTTCTTTTCTATTTGTCAATAATTTCCTAAATTAATCTTTTTAATGTTGGATTAATTTTGAATAACAACATTGATTCTGTTATGAAAACAGAAGAAAATAGGGAGAAGTCAATAGACTTGTGTGTTTTTTATTAAGAACAAAAGCCCTATATTTATAGGGCAGAATCAGGGATACAACGGTATTTATTTTTAGGGCTGTAGGGGTATAATTGTCATTCATCAATAAACCCTAATGAACTTTCTATTTTACAATACTACTCGTTGAATGACACATTACAAAATACATATCTCATTAAAACATTAATTGGCAAAAACCCAATGGGACAAAAATGCCAACAAAAAAGAGTAAAAATAATTTGGAGTAATAAAATGTTGTCTCATTAAAACCTTGTCAAGAAAATCCAGTGGGACAAAACTTGGTCGAAGGAAAAAGAGTACAACTACTCCCCCTGATTTCAATTCTTGTATTAATTCTTTCAATTCTTGTATTAATTCATCATTGCCTTGTACGTCACTATCTTCAATACTGCAATTTTGATGAAATGCCTCATGTTGTCTTGTACAATCTTCAAATAACACCGTCTTCGTAAGGGATACTTTATCATTCTTTGATAACTGTAGTAACATGATAATTCAAAAAAATAACTCTTCTTGATTTCTTTAAGAGTTTCATACATATAATGTATTATTTTGAGGGTAAATGTCTTGCATGTTATAGACATTAATTACACGAAGAATATGCCTCATGAAAACCTTATTAGGAAAAACATTGTGGGAAAAAATCCTAATGAAGGAAAAAAGAGGACACTATTCTTTTGAATACGCTATAAAAGTTGTCTCATTAAAAACCTTGTCAGGAAAACCTAATGGGATAAAACCTTGGTCAAGGGAAAAAGAGTACAACGTGTATTTACTCCCGCTCATGATAATATCACTTGAATTATGCTTCAAACATATTCAATCATTCCAGAATGGTATCCAAATAATACAAGATAAAGTATCTAAAATCATATTTATTACAGGCACATCAAATTTCATGCATTATCACACTAACAAGGTAAATACCTGTGATTACATCCACCACATGATAACTAATCTATGTATACAAGTGTTCGCGAAATTCATTATGTAAAAAGTCGTACATTTCACATTACGACTTTACCTTTTCTATTTTCATTCCGCACAAATTATACACCTCTTAGTGTTTGAACTATATATCCAGAAACTTCAGATTTCTCTAATAAGTTCAATTTTATTAGGATCGCATCCATTTTATTTGACCAATCATTAGTTCGATCGATATATTTCAACGAATTTATTTCAATTCCTCGCTATATGATGTAGCACATCATGTGTAAAATTGTTGTCGACAACCTTTTCTTTTCTTGTTCGATTCTATTTCTTTCTCCATGATGACATAATTTATTGAGATATCTCAATTTTCAATATATCAGGTACCTGATCCTCTTCTGGGGTTTTATAATTTGTTATGTCTAAATACTCATTAAGAGTATATGTCTCCTTAATGAAATCATCTTTGCTAATTGTTCCATTTTCATTTGAAGATTTTTGTATGAGAATCGAACACCGTCATGCTTCAGGCATGCCATAGATATATCAAATATAATGCTAACAAATTGTCCCTTGAGATATCAATTCTTATTGGAGCATTAAAAATTGGTGTGAGAGATATTGTTGATCTCTTTGATCAATAAATGTATCTAAATAAATTCTCTTTCAAACTTCTGGTTCGAAAAATATTTAGCGAGGATTTAGATGATGACGTATTTATACATTATTTTCAACTTTTTAATTCCCCCTAATGCTGAGATAATTGTCGAATTAAATTGACAAATATTTTCACTGCATTATAAAATATCACCATTTGTAATAAGGGTTTATACTACGCATTTATTCTCATCATTCATTGCTTTCCATCTCAGTGCATTATAGTGGATCAATTTTATACATACTGCACTATCAAAATAATTAGATAAAAAATTTAGGCTCTAACCATAAGCCAATTTTAATAGAAAGAACTATGATATTGACAAGATATGTGATAACATTCCCTAAACGGAAATGAAAAATATATTTTTCTCAATTAAATTAATTGTAGGTGTTTAACAAACAAGCTTGTTAAATCATTTATCGACATTTCAAAAAGTACTCATTAAAATGTTGAGATTTATACCCACTAACATTAACAAGACACAGTTTCGATTATTTAATCTGAAAATTATGCTCATACTTTAAAATTTAAGCAATAATTTCGCAAACTTTAGGTTGCGAATACCATGCAGTCATCTAATATAAATAATATTTAGATGATCAACGTGGTGGGTGACGGGACCCCATATATCACCCTAATTAATTTTCAGATATATAGGAAATTCAATCCCAATTTTAGCTAGTGACCTTTAAGAATCAATTGTCGATAATGGAACAAAAGATACATAGGAATTTATAGGATTGAAGAATCTTCTAATTCTTCATTTTGATTTCACATCATTATTGATCCAGTGATGGTCCAACTGGTCATGCTAATCGAATTGAACTTCTGGTTCAATATAAGATATAATCCAATTATTTAATTTCGAAAAATATGATTAAATATTATATAATCATATAATGATCAATGTCCACGTGACATAAATCGTATATTTTTTTTCAGGGATAAACACAAATTCAAAATGATATATTCTTCGAAAATGTGCTACTTCAAGAGCATATTAACACGAATTATTGCTTCTTCAAGAGCAATACATAAATATTTTTCTGTAATATTGATATATATCTAGTTGTGATTATTTACAAGTGATAGAATAATATTTTTCAAGAATATTGACACATTTAAATTAATCATAACATTTTTCTAAAATATTAATACGCATAAATTTGTGCTTCTTTAGGAACACAATACTATATTCTTCAAGAATACTAGTTTATATTAGTTTTACTTATTTTGGAATGATATATCACTATTTTTCTTAAAGATATTGAAATTATAATGACGTGCTCTCCAATAGAATATCATTATTTGAGAATATTGAAACACCAAATAGTATGCTCTACTAGAGCGATAAATCAATATTCTTCTCGAATATTAATAAAATAAGAAAATTGTTTTCCTTTTAAAAATTACAGTCAGTATTGAATTATTTGTGTTTCTTCAAGAACACAACGAGATATAATTCTTCAAAATGTGTGTTACGTCGTATTTTATTATTACTTCTTTAAAAACAATATATTAATATTCTTTTGGAATATTGAAAGTTATACAATAATTTGCTCTTCAGAAGTAAAAACACAATTTTCTAATTATGATCTTCGGGAGAAAGTAAAATATAACTAGAGCATTAATAATAATGTGCTGATTCAAGAGCAAAAATATTTTATAGTAGACAAATATAAGAGTACTAAAATCATGTATTATAAGGGTAAGAATGAGATAATTAATTAAACGATAAACAATAGTAATGGACATTTAGCTATGAACCTAATTTAATATATGATATTTATACAATCACAAACCGCAATAATTAAGTGGCCACTTTGTTTAATATAAACTCAAACTTTGTCACCAAAATTTAACTAGATACCGTGACATACTTATGTATACATATACGCGTAAAATTAATATTACCTTCTATCGAATATGAAGATGAATTGTAAACTTACGCAGACAGCATTGCCTCAGAACCTCCAAAAATGGTACAAGAAGGAATTGATGATAAGTTTGGGTGACTACAACCTTGGATATCAATCATTAATCACGAAGGAGAATTGCACACGTGGTGGTCACATATCTTGGGAATGGTCAGACACATAATTTAAATGAACACGTCTATTAGTAATATCATGCTTTTATGGAGCAATTAATATTCTTTTGGAATATTTTTATAACGTGGGTTGTGTTTCTTCGAGAATATCAACACTATATTCATTTAAAATAAATATAATTTAAGTTATACTTCTTCAGAAGCATTGAGTCATATTCTTCTGGAATATTGAAATTGTAATATCATGCTCTTCTGGAGCAATTAA